AGTGTGCGGCTTTATTTATTGTATTTGTCTCCATATCTCACTTGTCTCTCCAGGTTTTAACACACTCCTTGGCAGAGATAGAGGCTTAACTCCTGTTTGTATAATGAGTTAATAACATTAGCCCTCATTTCTCCCATGATTAATGTGTGCCATGTACTACAGTAAGTGCTTTACAAGCATCCTTAAAAAGTTTAGCAAGTGGTAATGATTATCCCCATTTTAAATATCAGACAATTAATCCCAAGAGATATCAACTTGTCAAAAGTCTTACAACTAGCTGGTGGCAGATCTAGAATTTGAACACCATGTTTTTCTGACTAATGTCATGTTTAGTGTTCTTAAACATTACACTTCTATGCAAGGACTAATTTCTTTTTGATGGTTTCTATCCAAACACGGCCATCATAGCTGGGACATGGAAGCATGATGAACAGTCTTTTAATCACTGGAGCACTCTACAACCCAATTCTGGTGCACGTGTGTGCATGCACACACATAATCAATGAATGACAAAGCACAAATATGTATGTAAGACTGTGATAACTGGAATGCATAGTTTGCAAAATCACCAAAAAAATGTATAAAAATAACTCCTGCCCACATCAATGAAAAGTCAGCAGAACAGAAAAAGAAATCCCCTTTAATGAAAACCTGACAGAGTTTCCCAAATTGCATGTGATTTTTAATGGACTAGAGACACTCTTCTGCATTTTTATTTCTTGGACAAGAGGAAAATATATTACTTATGCAAAAGGATAGTTAGCATTTCCAACCACTAACACGTGGCCTGTAAAAAATAATAATCTCATTTTTCTGTTGTGCAATAGCCCTCTGTTAGGCAACAGCAACGTACAATGTGCTAGTTCCCTGTTCCTTCAGTAGAGCCGCAACGTACAATGTGCTAGTTCCCTGTTCCTTCAGTAGAGCCTCCCCTTTCACTCACTGCCCAGACTAAATAGTTACTCCTTGGATAATAAAACTCTAATACTGAGCTTCAAGCTACTTCCAAGAATGTTTCTGCTTGTATTAAGAAATAATCATATCAGTTTGCTAATAAGCAGAAATGCACTGTAAGTTGAGTATGTTGTCACATGTAGCTAGCAAACATATAAATCAATCCATGACCAGGAAAGAAACAATATATTTTTTTATGGTTGGGATCACAGCTGTAAAATGTTGGACCATCATCAAGAGAACAATGTCAAACACTGAACTTTTGGATGATTTCCATAAAAATAACATTTTGTTTAGGGTCAGTAGTTTTTATGGAACTTTGGAATGATTTTCACTGACGATATTTTTAAAGTTGAACTTGAACACCTCCAAAATGCTCTTCAAATGGAAATATTATGTAATCTAACCTTTTCAGCCATGTTCTTTGGAAAATCAAGCACATACCACAAAAACCAGCATCTGTCTCAGTCTGTACATATTTATGAAAATTAACTTATAGTACACATACAAGACAATAAATTAACTTTTCAGTTTTCTCTTCATTACTGAATTCATGTCAGCACTGAAAATGTGTAAAGCCAGCATGGAAAAAAAAGAAAACACGCTGAATTTCTTCTATAGAAATCTTATCAATACAGCAATATTCTTTGAAGTGAAAAGAATAGTGGAATTCATCAATACGTCTAGTCAGCCCTAGACGTAATAGTCAACTCTAATATTTTTTGTTCTCTACATATCCCAAATAATTTGCCTGATATTTGATTTACGTGGTCTAAATTCTTATTTTTGTTTACTCTCCTTTTAAAGGCCAAACTTTGGAGATTTTTATGTTGAGCCCAACAAGGCAAGTTTTCACAAAGTAACTGGAAGACTTTATAAATATAGTCTCAGACAAAGCTAGTTGTGGCATAAAATCCAAGGAGACTGTGTTGGCTGAGCATACATATACAGTATTAATAATGTTGGTTCCTAGAATTCCATAACCAGAGCTCAAGAAAAGGAAAGCCAAACCACTGAATTCAATATTTGCAGCCTATTTCAGGATGTGAAAATATTTTGGTTCTCCCATGCAAATAATTTCTCGAAAATACTTTTGTTCAAAATGACTTTTTGTAGACTGAAACTAATTTCAGATTCAGCATGACTCAGTATGTAGGGATACACCCAATCAGAATTTCTTCCACACCCAGGTATACTTTGTTCTTAGTTTTCACTTACTGTATTGATTTGAATCAGTAATTTTTTACTGGGATATGTGTGTTAATGGAGATTGCTAAACCATGCCCTCAAAATTACTTTACGATGTAGGTTGTATGTGTAAAATGTTAACATAATAATAAAATATAGCTAATATACTAATTTGAAATTTAAAAAACAATTCATCAAATTTGGTATCAGACTCATGCACTTTGATCAAATTGCGGGCTAAGTCACTTCAGTCGTGTCTGACTCTTTGCCACCCTATGGACCATAGCAACCTGCCAGGCTTCTCTGTCCATGGGATTCTCCAGGCAAGAACACTGGAGTGCGTTGCCAGGCCATCCTCAGGGGATCTTCCTGACCCAGGGATCAAACCTGCATCTCTTATGTCTCCTGCATTTGCAGGTGGATTCTTTACCACTAGACCACCTGGGAAGCCCACTGATCAAATTACTCTCTCCCAAAACTGCTAATGGTTACCCAAGGCCAATAGAATGAAATTCATTTCTTCGCCCTGGCTCCAGTCTTTCACTATGCTTCCTGCATCAAAACCTTTAAAGTTGTATTGACTCCACTTTTTTAAATATTTCACACTGTGTATCTGAATAAATCTGTGCTTCAAACGCTATTCAAGGTCAAGATTCTCATGGAATCCTGTATATTTCAATAAATATCTACTCATTTCGTTGAAAGAGATAAAGTTCCTGCCCTCGTGGCTAATCCCATAGGTTTATTGATAAGTCATAGTCACAGGTACGCCTGCATGTAGATAATTTTCAATAAAAATTACTTTCAACATATAAATATTTATATTAAAATATAATTATCCTCACCCTTATTTGCATATTTGTTGTGCGAATTAATTCTCTTCTATTAAATGACATGCAGATGTATCAGTTCAGTTCAGTTCATTTCAATCACTCAGTTGTGTCCGACTCTTTGCGACCCTGTACACTGCAGCATCCCAGGCCTCCCTGTCCATCACCAACTCCCAGAGCTTGCTCAAACTCATGTCCATCGAGTCGGTGATGCCATCCAACCATCTCATCCTCTGCCGTCCCCTTCTCCTCCCACCTTCAATCTTTCCTAGCATCAGGGTCTTTTCCAATGAGTCAACTCTTCACATGAGGTGGCCAAAGTATTGGAATTTCAGCTTCAGCATCAGTCCTTCCGATGAACACCCAGCACTGATCTCCTTTAGGATGGACTGGTTGGATCTCCTTGCAGTCCAAAGGGACTCTCAAGAGCCTTCTCCAACACCACAGTTCAAAAGCATCAATTCTTCGGCACTCAGCTTTCTATATAGTCCAACTCTCACATCCATACGTGACCACTAGAAAAACCATAGCCTTGACTAGATGGACCTTTGTCAGCAAAGTAAGTCTCTGTCTTTTTAATAGGCTGTCATAGCTTTTCTTCCAAGGAGCAAGTGTCTTTTAATTTCGTGGCTGCATTCATCATCTGCAGTGATCTTGGAGCCCAAGAAAATAAATTCTATCACTGTTTCCATTGTTTCCCCATCTATTTGCCATGAAGTAATGGGACTAGATGCCATAATCTTAGTTTTTTGAATGTTGAGTTTTAAGCCATCTTTTTCACTCTCCTCTTTCACTTTCATCAAGAGGCTCTTTAGTTCTTCTTTGCTTTCTGCCATAAGGGTGGTGTCATCTGCATATCTGAGGTTTTTGATATATCTCCTGGCAATCTTGACTCCAGTTTGTGCTTCATCCAGCCCAGCGTTTCGCATGATGTACTCTGCATGTAAGTTAAGTAAGCAGGGTGACAATATACAGCCTTGATGTACTCCTTTCCCAATTTGGAACCAATCTGTTGTTCCATGTCTGGTTTTAACTGTTACTTCTTGACCTGCATACAGATTTCTCAGGAGGCAGGTCAGGTGGTCTGTTATTCCCATCTCTTGAAGAATTTTCCACGGTTTGTTGTGATCCACACAGTCAAAGGCTTTGGAGTAGTCAATAAAGCAAAAGTAGATGTTTTTCCTGGAACTTTCTTGCTTTTTTGATGATCCAACGGATGTTGGCAATTTGATCTCTTGCCCTTTCTAAATCCAGCTTGAACATCTGGAAGTTCATGGTTCATGTACTGTTGAAGCGTGGCTTGGAGAATTTTGAGCATTACTTTGCTAGCATGTGAGACGAATGCAACTGTGCAGTAGTTTTAACCTTTTTTGACTTTGCCTTTCTTTGGGACAGAATGCAAATCGGTAACTGCTACTTGGAAAATTTTGAAAACAAAATAGAACCTTTTGTAGGAGCCAGATAACATATACACATCAGTAAGTTTCATGAAAGAAAGGATTAATTGCTCTCTTGTCTGACTCTTTGTGACCCCATAGAGTGTAGCCCACCATGCTCTTCTATCCATGGAATTTTCCAGGCAAGAATACTGGAATGGGTTGCCATTCCCTTCTCCAGGGGATCTTCCTGACCTAGGGATCAAACCTGGGTCTTCTGTATTGCAAACAGATTCTTTCCCATCTGAACCACCAGAAATCTATTTGAAAATTTATATTAATTATCCATCAATAGCTATCATGTAAAATTATACTCATACCAAACTTACAGCAATAGAACCTTCTGGAATTCAGAACTATCAAATATTAATTGCTTCATCATATGTTGCATGTGTTTCATGTTTGCATTGCTTAAAGTATAGCACAATAGCCTACATAAAACTAATTGAATGAATGATTTAAATAGTAGATAATTTCGTATCTATGGGCATGGTATGCAACCTAAGAAAAATTCAACTTGCCTTTAAAAACTTTGAAAGCTGAAATTGAACATGACTGAATGCTTTTTAAAAGGTGTCTCCTTTCATTTCAGGAAGAAAAGGAAGGGAGAGAAAAAGAAAAAAACTTAATAAAGAAGAAAGTAAAGATGCAATACCTGATAACAAAGGTCTGGAGCCCAGCAGGGAAACTCCAGAGCAACGAGAAAACAAACAGCAGCAGAAGAAACGAAAGGTCCAAGATAAACAGCAGAAATCGGTATCCGTCAGCACTGTACATTAGAGGGTCCCGTGAGATTGTCGTAAACTCGTAATGCTGCTATCTCCACCAGATGCCCAGGACAGGTGCTCTAGCCATTAGGACCACAAACGGACAACGTGTCAGTTACTGCTCAGTCTAAACAACATTCCAGATAGTTGCTATATTCTTCATACAAGCATAGTTAACAACAAAGAGCTAAAAGATCAAAGAAGGGATGCTTTTGAATGGTTATCTTACGTGCTTCTGTGCATTTTTAAGAGACAAGAAATTTTGTACATAATCATCAATAGGCTAGAAGCTGTAACAACCTAATGATGACAGCTGGAGAAGCAACATCTTCTCCCTATAAAAACATGTTTTCAAGCTATTGTTTAAAGAAGCAAATGATAGTTCTGCAAACTCAAAAGATGCTGTGTCCCTTCAAAAGACACCAGAGATCAGAGGAGAGAAACACCTTTCAAAGGACAGTGTTCTTTTGTGCAGGAAATCTAGGGCGTGCTCAGATATTAAGGCCTGGCATTTGGAATCATAGGAATTATCACCACAGAAACAACTGTTTTAAGCTTGGTTCTCTTGCCCTCATTTGTCCTCCTGCAAGAAGCGTGAGAGTGCACATATTTTCAGAATTAATATACTGTATGGGATTGGAGGAAGGCAAAATGTGGAAGAAACCATAGAGCTGGAGATGATTTTTGTGCTTTACAAAACTGTGAAGGGTTGTGATTACCTGGAACAGGTCTCCAGTCTATGTCCGCACTGTGTGATTCAGCCTCTGCTACCCCTTGGGTTATATGTCTGTAAACATGTACCTGTAACTTACTTCCAAAAACAAAATCATACTTATTAGAAGAAAATTCTGATTTCATAGAAAACAAAAACTAGAGCAAGGAAAATATAACATGTTTGCAAAGTCATGTGTTTTCTTTCTCTCTCAACTGGGAGGGGGAAAAACAATCTTCTTACCTGCTTAATTGTCCACATGGAACTAAAAGGGATACTACTTTCTAACAAAGTGTATCTAATAGGGGGGAAGGCCACCACAATAAATATATTTGTTGATAGTTTTTAAAGTTTTGTTCATTTTATTGTTTCATTAAAAAGTTGTTACTCTTAGAGACTCCTGCATTAGGAAAGAGGATGTGTATCCTATGGAATTCAGAACATATTACATTTCTCAGTGTTTGCTTTCGGAGTCCAGCCTTAGCTGATGGAAATTTACATATAAAGTATTCGAAGATATTTATCCCATTTTTCTTATTGTGATTAAAAAATTCTAGTTATAGTTGCAGGGGCCTCCCTAAATGATTTCATTACTCCCCCTTCTTTGCTTCGAAATTTGTATCTTTTCTTGTATGTTGCATTCTTCCAGCATCTTGAACATTTGGCCTTTTCTTCTGCATGTTTTTTCACTCTCTAGATCTCTTTGGGGAACTGAAGTCACTCTATCTGGAGGCTTCACCAGTGTTTCAGAGAGGCCACAGCCAGCCTGGGGCAAGAGGAGACAGGTGCCACAGAATCTCCTGACCCACCATAACCTTCCTGTTGCAACGGAAGGACACACAGCTATCCTGTCCACCAGTCTTCCTCGCCCTCTAAAGAGCACTGCTTCCTGAAGAGCTGGCAATGAGTCTGGTTTCTTGCTGCCAATTTCTGGCCACTCTTTCCCTACAAACTGTACTCTTCATGCAGATTACTTGCCTTAATTCTCTTGTCCTCTTCCAAGATATAAAATTTTTGAGTGATGTGTTCCTGCTTCTTATTCTGAATTTTCTTTTCCTGTCCACGTGAGATGTGTTATGTATAAAAATAATCCTATCTTCAACTACAGTTTATATCACCAAGGAGAAACAAACATTTTCCTTACAGAGTTGTTAGGTGGAAGTATAGTCCCATCTTCTAAACCTTAGATATGGTTTCTATCACCATCTTTGTCCTCAGTCTTACCTAGTCAAGCCTATGTGGCCAAATAATTTTTGTGTATTTTCTCTGTTTATCATTGTCTTCATGCTTTCAACAAGCAATGACTGAGAAGGTCTATACCTGCATATGCAATGCGGAAAAAAGGTTAAATAAACCGGGACACAACAACTGTGGCAAATGATTATCATGTCTTCCCAGGTGTTTTGACTCCAGACTTTTACTCTGTGGTCCCCCAGACAATGGCAGATAATCTAAATCCTTGATGCAGCATATAATTACAAGCAGAATTATTACAAAGGAAAAAGAAATGAAAACCAGCATTAATAGTCACATATTGGGTGAAATGTAAGTGAAGACAAAGAAAACATCAATTTTAACTGCAGTTCTTAATCCACGTGTAATTAGATTTTAAGCACATGAAATCATTATCATCTTCAAACTAGCAGCCTACTCAACTCTGGGAAAATCTGTTTGACTTCTGATAAAATTCCTATACTAGTCACTGAAGGCATTTATGTTAGTTCAAGGTGATGTCCCTAATAACTCCTCATTAGTGACAGTGTCCTTCTGGGCTCCCAACTTTGCTTTTCCAAAAAGTGGAAATGTACAGGCTCTTAGATGAGAATTAGAAGGTTCACCACTCAATATAATAATTATTCTGTACATAATAAATATCCAGAAAAATAATCCCACAAGCCACACATATAAATCAATTTTTATCTTGACTAACATGTAATATTATCCATATAAGTGTGCTTAGTCCTTGAAATTATTACATTAACTTCTTATTCCTTGAAATTATTACATTAATTTCAAGGAATAAGTAATTCCTTGAAATTGTTACATTAACTTCCAGGAATAAGTAATTCCTTGAAATTATTATTACATCAAGGAATTGCTTATTCCTTGAAATTAATGTAATAATTTCAAGGAATAAGTATATCTGTGGGATTCAGTGGAAAAGAAATGAATATTCGTAACCAAAATGTAAACACATGTTTTGTCTTAGACCTTGTTAAAGCTAAGAAATCACATATTCTTAAAAGAATGCATTTTTTTTTTTTAATAAATGAGCATAAAGACACTGAGGAACTGACTAGACTCTATCTCAGTCCAACTGCAACTATTTCTGGGCAAATTAGTGGGAGACAAGGCCTCTTTCTCGGAGAAGGCAATGGCACCCCACTCCAGTACTCTTGCCTGGAAAATCCCATGGACAGAGGAGGCTGGTAGGCTGCAGTCCATGGGGTCGCCAAGAGTCAGACACAACTGAGCGATTTCACTTTCACTTTTCACTTCCACACATTGGAAAAGGAAATGGCAACCCGCTCCAGTGTTCTTGCCTGGAGAATCCCAGGGACGGGGGAGCCTGGTGGGCTGCCGTCTATGGGGTCGCACAGAGTCGGACACGACTGAAGCGACTTAGCAGCAGCAGCAGCAGCAGCAGCAGCAAGGCCTCTTTCTAAAGCTGATATGTTACTTCTTGTAATACTGAGTTAGTATGGAAGCCAATATAAATTCATCCTCCACTAAAGAATAAGATTACATAAAGATGGTGTTTGGATCAACTGAGGCTTTTTCTGTTGCAAACAATAACACTTCACCTGTTTTTTTAACCTATTTATTTTTAATTGAAGCATAATTGCCTAACAGTATTGTGTTGGTTTCTACCAAACATCAACATGAATCAGCCACAGGTTTCCCCATGTCCCCTCCCATTCTTACCTCCCTCCCCAATTAGGTTGTTACCAACCTACTTACCAACCCCTCCAGGTTGTTCCCAAACCACTAACTTAGTAGATGTGTTATCATTTTTATTATATTCCTACTTCTGGATCTATTAGAAAAACGAAACAAAACCCCAAAATTGTCTGTACCTCCTTCATGCTAACCAGTTATCCTTTGACTAAATTATATTATGTAATTATCTCCAAAGCACAGTGAGCAGGTTATTGATATATTTGCTGTTAAACTGAGGAAACTGAAGCACAGAGAAGCACCCAGAGTCACAGAACCAGGAATCAATAAGCCTGGAAGTCACTTCAGCTCTGCCTTGCTCCTTCCCCTACCTCATGACTCCTTGGAATTCCCTGGTGATACAGTGGTTAAGACTCCCTGCTTCCACTGCTGAGGGCGTGTGTTCAATCTCTAAATCAGGGAAGTTGCACGTGCTGTACAATGTGACAAAAAAAAAAAAAATCATGTTTATTCTTCATTCCAAAGAAGTCCATAAATGTCTTATGAGAGTATTTTCTTGTGATCTGAACTAGTAGCTCATAAAGAAGAAGCAGAGAAGTCAGATCCCAGAAGCCTTGGCCCAGGATAAGACTCAGCTCTGAATCTGAACTCAAATGTGACTATGTGTATGAGTGTGTGTTGGGGGCGGGGGGTGGGATGGGGGCTCCAAAGAGTCTGTGGGCTGGCTAGTAGGAGATTTGACGGGAGGATTCAAGTGTGCTCAGAGGGAAATGGAAAAATGAGAATTATGTGCCCTCAGAAAAAGACCGGCAGTCATATACAAAAGGAATAGCAAGTATGGCTCCTCGGGAAAGTCCTGGCTTGCTATAGCTGTTCTTTATTCCTGTGGACTGACTCTCAATCTGGTTCTCTTTCAGTGTAAGCAGGGTATTGGCCAATTCTATTATCTTTTCCTTGAGTCCTTGTCAAGGGTTAAAATGACACAGGAAGAAGCATCAGCAGATCTTTTTCACTACTGGAACTGCCAAAACAACTTCCTTCAGATAATTCCTCACTTTCTCCTAGCTACTTCAGACATTCAGTATCCGTGTTTCAGTTGCCACATGTCTTTTCTTGCCCATCCTGCCTCTCCAGTATTTCAAAGAGCAGCGTATCGATCATATGAGCAGGTTTTAAGAAATGAAGAAAAGAAAGAAGAAATGAATGGAGGAAAGTAAAGATGGAGGTCAAAAGAGTAACCACAGCTTTATTCATAGTCATTATTTATTTATTTGTTTATTTATTTGGCTGCACCAAGTCTGCTGCATGTAGGATCTAGTCATCTGACCAGGGATCAAACCCAGGTCCCCTGAACTGAGAGAACAGTGTCTTAGATACTGGACCACCAGGAAAATCCCCATAGC